TTCCTGCAGTCATCATAACGCACGGTACAGAGAGTCCCAGACCATTCTGGAGAACAGTTACAACTGGGCAGAAACAGAAATATCATTGAAATAAAACAATGGTCACTGCACTGTAGCAAGCAATACATTATCTAACGGTGACTATCAGAAAGTATCATTCATAATTACTTCATCACTAACAAATTCATCATTTTAATATGAGGATTATCATCAGTTTTCATATATTTTGGTTTTCCCATTTGAGATCATGTATTTTTTGTCTTTTAGCTGCTAATGTAAAGGGTCCTGTGTCCAATAAGGTCGTCTGACAAATACTGAAAAACCAGATTTTAGTGCATTCTAAACTGAGCTGAATTGAATGGAATTATATTGCTAATATAAAAGTTATGTGAAATCAACAAGGGTAAAGTGAAATTCTAAACTTGTTCTAAAATTTTTCTACAATGTTCACACAGCTAACAGTAAAATTCAATTCATAACATCTGAGCATTATAGAAAGTTTAAGACATACGTGAATGATCCAGGAGTGTTGACACAGGTTGCTCCATTTTGACAACCCTGAGGTGTTCCTGAATACAACTGGCATTCATTCACATCTGTTGCACAGTTAGGACCCTGATACACACACACAACAAGAAAGAAAGATTTAAGAGAAACAACACCAGGTTTAGAATCAGAAAAAGGAAAATACTCACACAAAAAAACTCAGTCTGCTATAGACTAAGTTAATAAACTACTGGTTAGGATTAATGAAAGACTGCGGTTTTGGTTAAATGTAAAATTGTCACTGTGAACATGTTCTGTATTAAACTCACCCTGATCTTTCCCCAGCCTTAACCAATAGCTGACAGTGGCTAAATGTAACCATGGAAAAGTTCAATAACGCTGCAATTTCTCTAAGTGTATATTGTACTGCAAGATCAGATGTTTTGGCAGAAAACAAATATGTTGTCTGATGCAGTCAATATCAACATATTTGTGATTTGCCACATACTGAACGTTTATGAACAACATATCCTCATTATGTATTTGCTGTTGAAAATTGGTTCTACGTAAATGTTATTTCTAGGAGACAGGGCTGAGAAGAGACAAAACTTTAATGATCTTTGATCGACCAAGGACATAACACAGCAAAATATAGAGCAAAAAGAAAAAAACACACAAACTACTTTTCAAAGACAAATAAATATAAACTGGGCAACGTGATCAATGGGTACCAGGTTGTGAAAGACCAAGACTCACTGTATCTCATTTGGGTTTTGGTAAGAGTACCTGAAGGCGTGTCCCACATCACTGCCAAATTTTAAGGCCCTGGCTCAAATAATTCTGATTAAGTTATACAACATACAGCATAGAAATATACTGGCTTGTATTTTGTATTTTTGTGATTTTAGGAAAATATTTTTATGACTGTCAGTGTATATTATTTTCTATAAACATGATCATTTGTCCATTGGCCCTTGTATATAGCATGTTTTTAAGATTATATTTAAGAGTTTTGTTAGTTGATATGGTGCTTACATGGTGCCTAGATCAACATTCGATCCAATTACAAATAAATAAATTGAAATAAAAACTGATACACAACAAACATGAAGCAAAATATTATTCCAGCACAGGAGTAATGATAACTGGCTCTGGACAAAATATAATGCTGTTAATAAAACATAATCTTGTGCGGTTTGCTGTGCATGACTCTACTCAACAGGTATTTGGCATTTTAAACAGTACCGGTGACAGTAGTGTTAATTTGTATTGAGTATTGCCAACAATTAATGGATAACTAATTGTAATAACCATCCCCATAATGCAAGAAATGGTATGAAACTCACGGCCCAGTTGCTGGGACACACACAGTGGTATGAGTTGAGTAGGTTGAGACATGTTCCTCCATTCTGACAGGGATTACTGCTGCAAGACACTTTCTGAACAGTCTAGGGGAGAAAAGAGTTGAGGAAAGGCAGGCTTAGAAACATAACGTCGATGAGACAGTCCTGACTTTAGCCATTACAATAGGCTTAGAAACATAACGTCGAGACAGTCCTGACTTTAGCCATTACAACAAGCAATTTATAATGTCTTACCAGCTCAAGTGTGGTCACTTTATTCTCAAGTACTGACACCTGGAAAGCACGGAAAATATTTTTATACGTTGGCTATGTGCACTGACAACATTAAGACAACCCTGTTTGCATAGATTAAGTGCAAATGAGCTCAGTGAGTAGAAATAAATACATAGGAAGAAACAACAAAACAATAAATGATGGTAGTGTTAAAATGTGAACTTCATCTTGATTCAACTGAGTGTTTTAACTTCTGATGTTCTACCTTGGTCTGAAGCTCATTTAATTTGTTGGTGACATCAGGGGGAACTCCACCTCCATGAGACATAATGTTATCAATGTTGTCTTTGTTGGTTTTGATCTGGAAACAGTTCATAAGCAGATTGTTCACTTTACAAAAGCTAAAGACAAAACCGTTCTGGATTAAATTCATCCTCTACTTTAAAGAAATCGTGTTATCATTGCTTTCAGACAGTTCAAACTGTTTTTTCATGTTGCTGTTGGTGAGAATTAGTAAGATGAATCTCAACAATCAAACATTTAAACTTTCCTCTAGATGTTCACTCAGGAAATCCTGCTCTGTTCATTTTATCCAAGGTTTTTGTGGCTGTATGAGGACAGAAAGTGAGTTGCTCTCTTGAAAAAGCCTGTGTGACATCCTTTAAAACTGGGCTTTGGACCAGATGAAATGGGAAGGTTGCACCCTGCACACACACAATGGCTGGCTGCACCTAGCATTAGCAGGCAATCCCCTCGTCAAGTACTAAACAGGCTCATTGCAGCTTAGCTTCCAAGACCAGATGAGTGCAGGCACAACCAGGGTAGTGTGGCTATAATCATTTTCCTATTGTAATGTGACTAAGACTAGTAACATTTTTGGGGGTTTATATTGTATTATTATAAATTTATAATATTAACAAGTCATATAAAATGACACATTAAAGCAATATGCACAGTGCAAAAATCTGTGTGTCAAAACCACTGAATAAAAGTCTATTTATACCCACAGAAGGTATGGCCACAGGAGGCACAACCAAAGTTTGCTTCCACCAAAGGGTTGTTTAGTTGTTAGGACTGTTTTTAATCCTGTGATGAATGAAACACGATAACCACTTTAAATGTGCTGCTGTTCATCTCCCGTCAGCTATCAATTATTCAGACAAAACAAATGTATACACACGGTTTAATAAATGTAATGAAAATATTGTGTTAATCCTTGATTCACCAACTTGAATGTATCTGGCTCCTGAACTTTGGTCCTGCCCAAACAGCTGAGTCTGTTTCCTGACTCAGCTGTTTCCTGATATGTTAATCATTCATAATCTCATATGAGGAGCAGCAGCTGACAAGAACTTATAATACAATTGTTACAGAGTAGTGCTGTGAATATTTTCTGACTTGTCTAGATAAGCTTCTTAGTTTATGGTCATGATATTGGTGATGTGCTGGGAGTAGTCTTGTTTCAACGGATAGAACCAAACCTCATCAATGAGAATGGGAAGGAACGTGAAGGTGATGAGAATGGCTTCTGTGTAGGAAGGAAGGAATATGATAAAGGGCAGGCATTACATTTTTTGCTTGCACAGGGGACATATAACTTGTAGAAACCCACAGTGGAATAACTGCACATAATGTAACAAATGTGCATAATATAATAAAATTATCTAATGAAAGCTGATAAAGTCATAATTTTCCAATAATATAATGAAAATGGTGAGCACAAGCATAATAGGTTTTTACACATAATGTAATAAGATGTCACATTTTGCACAAGTGACTACAATGTGAGCTTAGTGGGAACTTACACATGTAATAATCTGACATCTTTTATAAAAATGTGTAATAACAAATAAAAAGTTAATATGTAAAGTATTTCATGCATAGAACAGTTTCCATCCTAACGATGATATCATAGACTGTGTTATCCACCGTTTCAGTTGTGCCACGTGTTTTCAAGCAAACCACGCATGATGAATGTTTCCTTTATGTGCATTTTAGGTGTTTTGTGTACTGAAAAGACTAAAAGACTGTACTTTAGAAATTCCATATAAACAGTTTACAGACTCTGAAGCCGTGCAATATTTTGTTGACAGTGTGTTGCTATTTTTGTTTTCATTTTTATGTACTTTACTGCTCCTGAGCCCAAATAGTCAGAATAACAGTCACTAAACAATGCTTCATGCAAGACAGTTCAAGGTGGCAATAATTTAACATTCCACACAAATAGTTATAGTATAGATATAATTTGTATTTAATTAATGCATTGTTTATTGTTAATTAATTAAGTACATTAATTGTTTAATTAATGTATTGTTTATCTCGCCCGCAGCTGGCTGGGATTGGCTCCAGCCCCCCCTTGACCCCGTTTGGGACTAAGCGGTTTAGAAAATGGATGGATGGATGGATGGATGTATTGTTTAGAGTGTACAATCATATTATCATGCCACAGTGATGTTATGCCAGTTTTAACATAAATGTTACCACTATGTAAACCCATATGGTAATGACTTGTGCATCATGTAATAACTTATTACATCATGTGCAAAGCCATTTTATTACATTGTTTGGAATATTATTACATTTTTATTACGTTATGCACTGTTATTATATTATGAGTTTGTTAGGTTATTTCTTAGTTAGATAGATATTCAGAGATTTGTTGTCTAGAAATGTTTAGTGGAGACAGGTTGTCTAGCTCAGGCTGTTAACTGTTCAGTTTGATGTGCTTGCAGTGCAGACTGCATGTAGGCCAAGGTTGCAGGCAAAGAGTTGTTAGTATTAACTGTAATGCTAGTCTTAATATTTGTCTTAATGTGTAATGTCATGTCAAATTGTTCTAGATACACACCACAAAAACAACAGCCACACACCTTGACTTTTCCTCATGTTTTGACTAACGTTATAGTCAGCTGCAAGCTGGCATATCAGGTGACGTCACGGTTTGACGCCCTGCGTAGCATGGGCTAGCCCAAAATGATTAAGATTATATAGGTTTCTGGGTCCAGGCTCGGATCATCTTTCCAAGCTGCCTGCGCGCAGTTTGGGGGTGGAAGATGCCTGGACGTGTAATGTTAATTCTTGCCTGTGACCCTTTGAATAAACCAGCACGGTTATATTTTTTATATACTCAAGTGGTCCGCTTCGTCTCTCTGAGTTCCTGGTTGAAAGAACCGGACGTGGCTTTATAATAGAATAAAGCCTTTAAGTTGTTACATACTTTATGAAGGAACATGTTGATTTGCCTGTCATGTGGATTTTATGCTTTTAAAGTTACTCATTATCATTAAGTATTTTATGTGTATGTTAAAGGTTAGGTGTTAGCTGTATGCTAAAATGCATTTTGTTGCCTTGTACTTGTACATGGGTAATGACAATAAAGTTGAATCTAATCTAATCTATTTAAATTTTTACTTAACCTTTGTTTAACCAGGTAATATGTTATTGAGGTTAGAAACCAGCTGATAGTGTGTTAGACCTTGCCAGGACAGCAGCATTACAGGTTTCAGACAAGACAATACAACATCTAACACACAAGTCAAACTGACTAAAAACCAGGTAACAAGATAAAAATACACTAACAGTACAAAAGGACACAAAAGCAGCAGTCAGTATCACAAAAGCTAAAATGAGCTAAAAACAGAAACAGTTAGTAGAGTAGTCATTTACAATAGTTTCCCTTTTGCAAATCCCAGAAAACAAGTTTTCTTTCCTATCAGTGACTTTGCACCAGAGGCAGACAGCAGATATGTCTGTGATCTGAGACTGTGATTGGAAGTTAATCTCTGTGAAATACGTTTACAAAGACGTAGGAAGTTGATTTAAATTGGCTGTATTAAAAAAGAATGCACCAGTGTCCAGAGAGAGGCCACCCCACTCTGGAGTACAGAGCACAGTGATGGGCTAGTGGTTTAAGTTGATAACAAACCTTAATAGACTGTGATAAACAGCCCAACATATGAAGACAGTTGCTTTCGTATACTGTATAACAGGTCACTGTAACCAAGAACCTGTTAGCAGCTGGCAGCAGCCATCTTTTCCATTGCTTCCAGGGAAAAACAAAACTCAGGTCTGAAATAAAACCTTAACTTCCATCCTAGTTTGTTCACAAGGTTTTCACCATGTTGCTTGAAAGACCGTGAATCAACGTGTTTGTAGCATGTAACAACTTAATTTATTACTGTATGACAAGAGCGACTTCACTGCATCAGCCGTATCACTGAAAATTGAATTTTATGACCAGCTGAACTGTATTCAATCTTTTGAACCACATGATTGTTGTGTTCCATCACTGCAAGTCTACAAGTTTGTTAGTAATGACAAATTTAAACTTACCTGACTCAGAAGTTGGGTGAGGTCCTCATCACCTACTTTAACTCGGCCAGATGCTGATGTCTGGAAGCGGATGTCTTTATTGTCTCCAGGTGTGAAGACAAGGTGACCATTCTCTGACAACATACGAGGCCTATGGAGTCAAATCACCAAAATGTAGGTATTTGAGTAAATGGGGATTATGGTCACACTACAGAATAGATTTAGGAGTAGGCTTAAATTTCCACCCTGCACCTCAAATAACACATACAAAAATATTTTCCATTATTTCCCTTAATGTTGATGAATAGTGGGAGCGGAATTCCAACTTAAAATCTGGGAACGAGTTTCTGATCATTAAACAAAATTTGCTTTGAACGCATCATTACATGTAATATACTTGTAACTAACACAGATAAAAAATAAATCACAAGCAGAGAATAAAGCTTGACAGCTGAGATACTATTAAAGACTGAAGATATTAAAGACTAAATGTGAAACAATTTTTTGCCTAAGATGGTAAAAATATTGAAATGTGGAACCTGGCTCAGATATTAGTGTTATTCAAGTGTTATAGTGATTATCCTTATTCAATTTGACCAGCTGCATATGAACTGAAGTGATGTTTAAGTTTCTATATAAAACCCAAACTCACTGGTCATTGCTAACGCTCCTCTTGTTTCGCCTGTGTGTGCTGTCCCTTGGCTCTCCTTGCAGCCCCACCAGAAGGAAAAGCAGTATGAAGAAGAGCCATGAGAATCGCAGTGTCCCAGCCATAGACACGAGATGTGTTGCCTGGACACTCTACACGACTTCACTGAGGTTTGATGTACTGCCACACTCTAATGCTCGGTGCCAAGACTTTGACCTGATACCACAACCGTAAAGTACATCTTAACTGACCAAATCTGGTTAACTATATTATTGAGTGAGAATGACCCTCACATGATTGTTGGAGATAAGTAACTTGCTACGTCTGACACTGTGTGCGTGCTTTGTAAATGTCAGGCAGTGGGTTACCACTGTGCAGATGGATGTAAATAAAAATTATCCTCATAAAATATTTAATAAAAACTTGTTTTATGAGTTCTTCAAAAGGCATCATAACAATATTATGAATAATGTTCATTACAGTCACATCTGTAGGTACAAGAATGTCTTCAATATGAATTTTGAATGAATCCTTCAATTTTTTTGTTTGTTTTAGTAGAAAGGTCCATCTGACTAAACTGAACAGATACTTAAGTAAAAATTGTAAAACTCAAATAAAATGACTTAAATTTTCAATTACAATCTATTCCATGACTACTGAAATTTAAAATTTTAAAAACCCTCATTACTTCTGATTTAACCTCAACAATACTCGCAATACAATTACAAATTACAATTATCTTTTAACAACTTACATTTAAAAATTGTCAATTGCCAATAAAATTTCTCTTGAAGATTTCAGTATTATTCTTGATCATACATTATTTTATCCATTATTACTATTATGTTCCTATTCATTATTAAACCCTGTATTTTTAGCATTTAACTGGCAACCTCTAGTGGTTGTATCACTAAATACCCTGACTACTCAGGACGATATATGACAAGTATCTTGGTATTTGCACAGTTGCGCTAATTCAGGCTTGACCATTAGTTCAAGATAATCCTGTATGTTATTTCTTATTATACAAAGTTCTTTTCATGTATTTAAACTGTCTTACAATTCCTTAGAAACATCACCTAAAGAAAGATATCTCAGAGAGTTCCAGATCTTTTATTGTCTTATAACCATCTGCATATTATTTACTCAAATGATATCTTTTATTGCTCACGTACACGAGTAGATCTTGGGAAACAGCCAATAAAGTTAGCTCTGCTGAGTTCAGATGTTTTGTGGTGGAAATGCTTTTGGCCGGTATGATGTGGTATTTTGACGCACACAGCCATATCGAACATTCCGACACAAAAAGCAACCCAGGACAGAACTGGCCCACCAATCTTTTGTACAGGACACGTCACTACCACCTGATTAACAAAGGTCACGGAGACATGAGGTGGGTGACACCACACGTGCAAAAGAAACTATTTTACAAAGCAGATTCTGGCCTTCGGAATAAACTCTCAACGAGCTCAAACATGGATCTGCTGTTGAATAATAATAGATCTGTAGTTGTTTCAATAACTGATCCATGGTTCAAAACAGCTCAGTACAAGTGTATAAGACCATCATATGGTGCTGAGTTAAATGGAAGATTCTCAAGAGTTATTCATGCAAAAACCTATTTTTCCAGTGTGGGTGCTAAGGATAAACCTAGAAATATATGTGATGATTAACAACAAACAAACAAAAAGTTACAGGTTACCTTTTAGGTTTTTATTTTGAATATTAGAAAAATTTACTATGATGCTCACAGAAAACAACCATATTTGTGTGCATCCAAAAGGGACAAGAGCTGTTCAAAATTACATGTAAAAAAGAAAACATGTACTCAGTCTGTTGAGGGATAATGTTGCTATGAAGCATTTCTGACCAGTTTGACTAACATTTCACCAGTTAACCTCTCTGACAAAGACTATACACTTTCAAAACACAACCAATAGTCAGACAGCACTCTGTAATAATTATCCATAGTGACTAATAAAGTGCTAGGAGACCAGCAGCTGGAGGAGTCTGGCCACCACCACAACATTAAGGCTGTTTCCGAGAACTTTGTACCGCTGCTTGGTTGGGATGTGCTCGGGAAAGGCTGCAAAACACAAGATAATAAGTCAACACTGGGCTGTAAAGTCCACCCTGTAGTATAATTCAAAGCCCAATTTCACATTTAGTTAACAACTTAGAAAAAAACATGAAGCAATAGAAATCCTGATCTTTGTCTAACAGTCAGTAAATATTAGTCAGTCTGTGGAACAGTTTTTAGAAACAACAGTGCCTTTATTTGCCATAGTGAAAAACAGTGTGAATCACTGATGTGTTTTTAATAGTTCTTGGACAACAATGATGTTCTTTGGCACACAAATAAGTAAAACCTGGTTTTGGATACAGACAAAATTTGTTAGTAGGAAAGTCATTACTGTTTTGTCATGACTGACAATAATATATACATAAAAAAAAATCACCAGCCTTACTCTTCAAGGGCTCACATGTTTTTCACTTACAGAAGCTTTGAGGGAAACCCATGAGGCTGGCAACTTCTCTTGGAGTAAAATACCGGAGCTTCAGTTTCATCAGCCGCTGGAGTTTCTCTTCGTCAGAGAGCTGGTCCAGACCAGTAAATACACTCTGCATCTTCAGGGTGCACAAAACAGCAGCCATCAAGATGGCATCATAAGACATGTCATAGTTATGCTGCTCAACAGAGACTGGTCAAACAAAGCTGGGATGTGTTAATCATAACTATGCAAGTCACAGTTCTAGTTTAATAAATGGACAACAGCAGAAGATAAACATAAATAAAATTAAAAGGTTTTATATTTCTGTACTGAAACAATTGACACTGATGATACAGAAGATTTGAAACAACAAAACAGTTTTCACGTACAGCCGAAAAGCATCTGTTGCCACATCTAAATGACCTGCAAATCTCAACGAAACCACTTTAAACTATACAATACTTGGCTGCTCCACGTCGGAAATGTTTCCAGTGGACATTGAAACTGTGAGAGCTGTAGAGCAGCCAGATCACAATGTAGCCAGGCTGTGTACCTTCAGTGTAAATGGTACAGGGGCATGTGTCTTGTTGATACTTGTACTGATAGCAAAGCCTACCTCTGTTTCCATGCAGCTCTGCAGCACTGAGCCGGTTCCTTCCACATAGCGCCCATAGCTATGGATACCACACAATAACACAATCAAAAACCGCATTACAAAGTGATCACTTTAATCAACTAGACAGAGAAACAGCAGGGATGAGATACAGTATGCTACTGTTCAAAACGTTTGGGGTCACCTGTTTTTCCACGGTTTATTTGGACAGGACTGATCTCTGCATTTTAACCGTTTACAAAAGTTACATTAGCTCTATAATATTTTATCACTGTAAACTGCTTTCAGCTTGTAGTTTGTGTCACGTCATCATTTACAGTCCACATACTACAATCTAACAGAGCTGCTTTTTTTCAGTTTCATATACTTTACTTCTTTGATCTGTGCCTGCATATGACCAGGTTTAGTCATTTACAAATATTTAACAACTTATTAATTTTGATGGAATACCTATTATTTATTCTTTGGCTTGCCGGGTACATTACATTTAACTGAATTTAACTTTTAAAAGGGCATTAAGTAGATGGTTGACATTTTCAATATTTTCACCACTCGTCACTGACTGTCGGTCTCTGATTTGCACTTATTATGTCATTCCTGTGTTTTAACCTCCAGCATACTGTGGGTGCACATTTTATTTGGCAAGTTCCAAAGTAAACCTTTAATGAGTTTTGAATGACAGTTTTCTAGCCATAAAGAAACCTACTGCTGTAATAAAGACACAAGTCAGGATGATGACAGTTGAAAACAGTTACTGTACTGTACCTACCCTTTGGTAAAGCAGGTAGACCTTCTGCATGTGGGCTGAACAATGTCCATGACCATAGCGTATCGCAGCAGTGTTTTAGGAGGAAGGAGATACTGTTCCATGTTTCTTTCTGACTGTGGTTCCAGGAAGCCTTGGATCAGTCTGACAGACAGGTCATTATTCTGATTCTTCTTCCTCTGGACTTCCGCTGTTGTTTCTAGCTTATACAGGAAATGTCCTTCCTCTGTTTCCTTGTCTAGCTGGCTGCTACCTGGGTGGGCAGGACTCACAACTGTGGGCTGCTCAGAGGAATCACTCTCAGCAGGATGTGGGAAGGCATCTAAAATCTACATTACATACCGAGTGAAAAGCCTTAAATTCAGCACGCACAGTCCCAATTAAATCAAATATTGATCAAACTTGTTTTTCTCAACCTATTCCCAGTTTTTGCTTTCTGTCTGAATATGCTTCTGGGTGACACTTAAATGACACTTCTTTGTCACTTATTTCGAATTAATATACAACTTCTTAACCAAAATTCACTATTTGTGCTGCAATTGTTTTTTTTTTAAATTTAACTACACAATCACAGACATACTGTACAGTATTTCAACGACATCCAGATTTTCAAAAAAGACAAATATTGTGGAAAATATGCAATAATACTAGCTCTGAAGTTCAGCTTTGGTTGGCAATGGATGTAATTAATAGAACATTTCTTTCACACATTTTCCTGAGAACAGGATTACAGTCTGCATGTCTCACCTTGGAACAAGCCTGGATGCTGAAGGTTTCTGTCGAAAGCTGTGCAATCAGGTAATATCGCAGTCTTGAATTTGGAATCCCAACCTAGATTTATGAATAGAAAAGTGATAGTAGTTTATGTATAACTTCCACATTACAGATGTAGTTGGTGAAATTAGTCACATACGGTGAGTCTTTCTTACACTTGTGGGGGAGACCATGATCTCCTCAAATCTGTATCCACCTTCCATCAGTGTTTTTATCAAAAGGTCCCTAAAGAGCAGAAGTAAGAGGGCAGATTAACTCTCACATGAAAAACATGGGTTGGATAGTGTTACAGCAGCTTCCAAGAGTGAAATTAAAATTAAAATTGTCTGAATTAAACTTGAGAAAGAAATTGATTTTGCAAAAAAGTGTATTAATTATACATCAAATATCTTAAAATAGGTTCCCTGTGGGAGCATAGTAATGCCAGTGTTCTCTCTGAGATCGTGGTGCAAAAAAATATCCCAAATTCAAACCATTTCCATTGGCTGTAAATTGCCTTGTCCACGGCAACACACTCAGACTATTCCACCTTGTAGTAGACCATCAAGCCTAGAGTCACAATATTTTCAAGAATTTGGAGAACTCATCTCAGACCACTACTGTTATTCATTTTGATGAGATTTGAATTAAGGTGATTTTAATATTAACCTGAATAATGGTAACACCTTATCTAGCATTTCATAAAGCACTTACTTTACAAAAGTAGGCAAGCAAATCCTGAGAACGGAAGAAACTGCAATAGTTAAACCTGATCCGAAGTATCAGCAAAAAGAATTTTTCACAGAATATTCAATTGGACAATTGCTGTACTTACCGAAATTTTTAATGAGACATGAAAAACATAATCTGCAAGATTTCAATATTACCCGCCTACTGTATATGTGGTTGCATCTTGACATGGTGACAATTTAGGCTTTTTGATAAACCTTTGCAGTCTACATCATTACCTGGCAGAGGAGCTCTCAAAGCCTTTCACATTCTCCAGCAGGATGAAGCGAGGAAGCCTGTTCAGCCTGGCCACACATCACCATATGCGTGTTGGGAAGATGGAATGAGATGATTAATTGGCAGACACCATGCTTGTAACACATCCAGCCATGGCTGACCTCCTTTATAAAGTCTTATGTGAAAACACAGCTCATACTTCACCATACCACAGCACAGAGCCTGAAGAACAAAAGTGTACAACTGTCCACTTAAGGTCTGGATGTAAATGAGGCCTACAAACAAACCCATGGTATAAAACATACCTTGGAAGGACTCACGCCTAACCACCAAACTGCAAGCAAACACACAGCTGTTATCCAACACTCAGTCAAGGCAGATAGGTATGTCATACTAAGTTTAGAAATGGGTCAAGACATTAGCAACCTCATGCCTTTAACACCCAGTCGACAGCAGAAAAAGTTAAATCACCTGACTGTGACCAAAAAAAGACATGGCTGTTTTCACATTTTCATTTTGAGTTTTGTATTGTTAAACATTCTGAGAACTCATAAATCTTGCAAACTTGGACCAAACAAAACTAAATACCATACTGCCTGAGACATGATCACAGATAATGCCACAATAATATCAGGAAAAAAAAACTATGCATAACTACAAAAGAGAATGAAGAAGTATGATAGAAAGTAAAACCGTTTGTACATTTCTGTCTAGACCTTTCATGGTCAAAGCATCTGCGGTGGCTGGGGAGATACGTCACATTACTTAGTGTTTTTAGAAACTACCACTGATGTACAAAAGGGCATTTTGTTTATTCTTAACAGCTGCTCAGATGTTTACCTGTGGCAATAATGACCAACTGCAGCTAGGTCATGTCTGGCATTGTTCTGTTATCAGACCAACTGTAGCTCCTTGAGTGCATGTTAACTTTAAAGACAGCCTGGACAAACAATATCAGAGCCCTGAAACAACGATATGATTTGCTTGGACTGTTCTTTTGTGTAAAAACACTTGCCACTCTGTGGTCTTTTTGAGCAACTGCTCATCTTTTCAAATATCAAAATGATACAAAGAGGTGCTTCCTTCTTAAGAAAACCATAGCTGCCTGAGAGTACAACGTTCCAATTCTGGACAGAATGCTAACAGCTATTACCCATACAGCAACCAAGAGTTTCATTTTGTGTTTGACCAGCTCATGGCAGTATTGATATAATTTGCCAACAACTGTCAGATAAGCATTCATAAAAGACTGTTTTATATCTAGCTAAAACATTGCTAAAACTGTAAGCTATAAGTAAGCATCTCTTGTTATTTCAGTATTCAAATTGTGAATTTGATTTTATATTTTTATTTTTTTCATTCAGGCTGACCTGAGGGCAATAAAAAGCCAAACTGGAAGATTAAGGACCTTGGCAGAAGATCGAGGATGTAGAGGAAGCTCTTGGTTCTGGGGTCACGAATGTCACCCTGAAGTCCTAGCCTGCACAAAAACAACAACAAACATTTCAGTGGAAACACAGGTTTACATTTAAAAGTATTTCATGGAGTGGTTTAAAATCTGTTACTATGATAATAAAAATAATAAAGACAGAAAATGAGGTCAGGTTGAATAGTATGGTGGTAAAAAGGCAGAACAAAAAGCATTGTCCTATGTAATGGTGCAAATCAAGCAAAGGAGAACAGCACCGCAGGTCAAACACCAAACTGTAGGACTGTTTCGCCTGGAAAGACTGGGATGTGTTTAAAGCTGCAGCCACCTCAGAGGACTTTTCTGTCAGCGTACAGGACTATGCAGAGTATGTGACCGGATACATTAGTACCCGTATTGACAACATTGTGCCCACTATACAAGTCAGGAGGTTCCCCAAACAGAAGCCCTGGATAAACAGTCAGGTACGCCACATGCTCTCAAGCATTCAGATCAGGCGATGAGACGGAGTACAAAGCTGCGAAGTACAGACTGAGGAAAGTCAGCACAGCGGCCAAGAGGCAGAACAGAGAGAAGCTGAATGGCTTCTATTTTACTGCTGACTCTGGACAGACGTGGCAAGGCCTGCAGCACATCACAGACTACAGGACCACCACCAGCATCATCAGCTCCACAGACAGCCTGCCGGATGACCTCAACACCTTCTACACCTGCTTTGAGAC